AATGGTTGCAATTTCATCGCAAAATATTCAATGAGCTCTCGAAAAAGTACCAAAATCTGCGACTTACTGCCATGGTCCATGGTCAAGTTCGGCTATTTTTCTGAATTTTTGTACCTATTCTTCGAAGAAGTGCAAGTGACAGGTAGATAGAGAAATCCTATAGGGCATTTCATTTTCCTTAGCTTGCTTCTTAGAGTTTCTGGAATCAGCTTTTCAATGCCATCAAATTCCATAATGGATTATCTCAAAGCTCACAGAACAACAACCGGCAAGCAGTTCGGGTGTCATTCGACGCAGCTTTTTCTCCTCTTTCTAATAGTTGTTTTCTGTTTCCGATTCATCAAGCTTTCCGAAATAAAATCATCATAATTCAGGTTTTCCAGGACGTCCCACGCTGTACCCGGAAATTTCGAAAGCTGCTAATCTGAAGCGGTGAATGCTCATTTGGTTTGTAAAACTAGTGTTAATCCATAATCCATCTTCGAAAGTTTCAAAATCCGAAGGTTTATTGGTGTTTAATGCATTTGTGCCTGAGACGAGCCTGCCAAAATTCGGTTTTTCATCCAAAAACCTATACAAAAATTATGACGAGCCCTGGAAGATAGAAAAAAAATCGTGCTGTTTCCTATAGGGTTTGCTCAATCCACCTGTTACTTGGACTCCTTCGGAGAATTGCTGTAAAAATTTGGAAAAATTAAGAAACTCAACCTTCCCAAAAAGCATGGGTCGCAGATTTTGGTAATTTTTTTGGAGCTTATCGAATATTGTGCAATGATCCTATAACCATTAGAAAGAGAATGAAATTCTGCATCAAATGCTGCCAAGATGTCCTGGAAAGCTTGCTTGCGCGAATTGTGGCGTACATTTGAAGGGAACATTACCTTCGGAACGACCTAATATATGTAAGCCAATGCAAATTGATAATTACAGGATAATTGATAATTACATAATTACAACTGCAAGACTTCCTTACCAAAGTTTCCATTGAAGAATTGTAGATATTTTTTGTTGCGGCCAGAAAATAAAAGGTAGCGAAGAAAAGTTCTAGGTAAGTTTTATGAACACGTGTGTTGGAAATACTTTCTCTTGAATGAAGCATAATAAAAGTTTAACTATTCTTAACGGAGTTAAAAACCCAGAAACCCAAAGTTGCGAAATACTCCAAGATACTACAAATGACCTAGTCGCGAAAAAGGAGAAATTTCTGCAAAAGAGACTATGAAGGATTTAGAGTGTCCTTTCATCCGTTTTGTAGTATAATAGGCACTTGATTGGTTTATAGTGCTCAGATCTTCGCAAAATGCTTTCAAATTTTTTCCAGATGATGGCAGTTTTCTCGTTCAGAACGTTGTATGGGGGGCTGCAGCTATCCCACCCAATCCCTCAGAGCGAGCGGAGAAAACTCACGGTCGAATATTTGCTGGGTCTGAAAAAGTTTAGTCAAACATCGTTTAGGATGGCGTTAGACGTGATTGAAAGACTGCTTGATACAAGTTTTTCAAATTTATTTTTATGAAGAGCAGGTGAAGTGGGGCTTAGTTTGATTGAAAAACTTCCACATACAAAGCAAAAGAAAACACACTTAGATTGTGAACTATGATAACAGGACTTCATTAGCTTTTCAATACAGGAGTGCCGCGAGAAAAGAACAAACTGTAGAATTTGGGTAGCAGCATTGCAGGAGGGCAAGATAATCAAAAATAGACACAACTGATCTCTGCTTTCTGTCTTTGATTCAAAAACCTGTTGTCTAAGTTTTTTGTGGACATTTCTCTTCATAGTCCTTTGCAATCATCAAAGAATGCAAGAAAATGCCGTCGCCTGAAAACTTTATTAGGTGCTTTTCTTCTTTCAAGAATCTTCTTCTTAGAGGAAGAAAAGCAATCTTGTGCAAATCAAAGATTTCCCTTCACTGCGAAAATGACCTATTCATCAGCAAGTAAACAATCCAAACAAGTTATGCAGAGAGTCGAAAAATTATATAGGTGATCTAAAATGGGCGAAAATTAGTCCAGTCTGCGCAAATTCGAATCACTAGAATTACGTTGTAGCGTGCTAAATTTTGTGAATTGAAAACAGTAGGGATAAGTAAAGTTAGGTAAAGACAATGAGGTTAATAAGGTTTTTCGCAAGCATCACTTAATATTAAGTCGTTTCTAAAGTTCTTGTTCGACTTGTCATAAAAACACTTGATAAAAAAGCACTTCGAAGATTATTCAAGGCAGCAATTCCGCTTCTTTAGAGCGATTATGTTTTCACCCACTCCTTTTGTGGTCCTAAAATAATTGCCGAAATAAACTTTCGAGGCCCTGGTTTTTATCGCAGTCAAACGCATTTTTTTCGGTTCAGTTTGTTTGAGAAATTGCAAAAGCCACTTGATGCAGCGAAAAATTTTTTGTATTGCACTTTGTTTTGTCTACCTGCTATCAAAGCTGTTCTATAAATTGCAACGAAAATTCTGAAAGATTGCCAAACTTGTTCATGGTGTAAACCATAGTTCGGAACGGCGGTTGTTTCGCTATTTACGAAGAGAACTAGTTCAGAAAAAAACATGACCTTTAAAGAGGAAGAAAAGCTGCGACGAATGGTTGTGTTCGCCCATCTTTATTCCAGGTGTTTTTTTATGATAGCTGAAAAAAACGAAAGAAACTTTTGAAACGACCTGATATTCAACAGGAGAGATAACTCAAAAATTTTCCAAGCAAGAGTAAAAATTAGGATGACTCTTTTTCTCTAAAAAATTTTTTTCAGCAAATTCAGAGAATTTTACACCATATTGTTCACCTTAAATGAAAAATAAATTTTCAATTTTTTTCCGACAAAACAGTCTGAGAATAGTTAGATAGATCACCAGGAATTAGGAGGATTGTCTCGTTCATCTAAATCGGGAGAATCACTGTCATTTTGAGAAAGGACTCATTAGTGCTTTTGGAAGTGGTTATGATCACTTTATTCAGAATGGATACGCCTTTTTTTTTGAAATTGAGCTGCAAAAAGCTTATAACTGCACAAACTGTACAAAATATATTGCTTTGTTTTTAAAACTATTCTAGGATGATTTTATGACAGTTTCAATTATCATCTATCACATCGCATTTTAATCTAATTATAGCATCAACTGGCGTCAGTAATCTATACGACCGAACTTTCACCGGGTTGATCAACTCCCCAAGTATATGGTTTTTCTATTGGATACGTTTCATTTGCCTTTTCAGATCAAGTCGCTTATTCAGGACTCAACTCCGTCTAACAGCCTTTCGATTTATGTCATTAGCAAAAAGCCACTCCGTTTTGACGTTCTGTCACGATCGTGCATAAAACACAGACCTTGAGAAATGTGTTATTATAGCTCTTCGCCAAATGCATTGATAGACATCCAAAGCAGATTCCGCGTTTAAGAAAAAACGACGATTTCTCCCAGATTCACGTTACTCGGTTGGAGTGTGAGTCATTTCCCATGCAGAAAAAGGCTGTTGATCAGATTAGAGGTTGCGAAAAAAAGAAATGACTGAAAAGAAAAGAATTGCACGTTATTTCTCTGAAAAAAAAAAAGTGTTCTATAATAGCTTTACAAGATCGACGAAATCAAGTGTGCATGGACAGAAAAACTTTATTCGAGCTGCTAATTGTTTGCATGACGTAGCAATCTATACTGCCCCCTATCTTGGTTCCTATGCTTTTTCAACCTTTCTTGTTCTTTAGAAACTTATTGTACTAGTATGGTTACGCTGTGCGCTCGCCATTGTCTGATGTTGGCAACTTTTTTCAAGGTGTGTTATATTCAACTTCGCCTACTGTAGTTTTTCGTGACTAATGTCAAGCGGAAGACACAAGTGCGAAAAAACTTTTCTGACTCTATGTTTAGTAGGGAAACTGCAAACATTACTCTCTTCGAAAACTTAATCACACCGTAAGTTTCTGAACGCCACATCTTCGCAGTAAATAGAAGCAGTCTTTTCGCAAGCACCCTTGGTGCAAAAGCACATCGAAAAGAGGAAATGGCGGATACAAGAGAAGAATAGGCAAAAAAACTTTTTCTTAATCTTTGGCAACACTTCTTCCATCGCTGAGTTCTGCAAAGAGAAAGAACCACTTTAAGTGGCTAGATGATAATCAGTCACCGCATGAGCAATGTTTAGAAAAGAATCGTGAACAAGAAATGCTTATGTGGCCTATCACTTACGTTTGCTCTCATAATACACCACGATACGGATAAGATCGATAGATGAATTTTAGCAAGTTGGAAATTTGTGGGATTATTTTGGATAAAAACCCTACGCTATCCCAAAAAGCTTGTCATGCTTTATAGAATGATACTTAAATGATACTTTACTTATGATACTTAGAACTTCACACATTTTTATACCTTCTCTGCCGCGGCAGTACAAGGAACGTGCAATATTTATGCATTAACCTATGTACAGGGCTTATCAAGTGCAATGTCGGGTGCATCAGCATCTCCATTCCTCCGCGAGGCTCGGCACCTCTTCCGCGAACATGCTCTCTAATCATATCCAATCGACTGAGGCTCCGCCTTTCCCACCGGTGGGAAAGTGATCAGAGAACATTTCGCGAAAGAAATGCAGAGTCCAGGCGAAGCGGACGCGCGGAAGCGGTGCTGGTGCTCCCGACACTGCCGTTGATACGCTCTTTAAACGAGTACGTCAATCTTGCTTCGCAGAGGCTGCACTGCTTCATCTATGCTGTATAAGTTTCGCTCTAGTCGCATAATGTTGGAATCTGCTGCAGAATCCACCAAATAACAACGACCATTACGAAATTGTTAACACATTTTGAAAATTTTTCATGAAAGATCGGTAAAGGAGCACAAATTTGAGGTCCAATAATCTTCATCTTGCTTAGCTCATCACTAGCTAGAATGCTCTCCATGCCACTTGCCTAGGATGGCATAAATATCGCGTTTATTCATGAAATCACTTATGTTTTTGTGCAAAGCTGGCTGAATATATTTGATCTGTTCCAAACTCATGGACATGTCTACTGCGTCTGTGAAAACAGAATATATCTTTCTATGGCTGTTTAAACAAAATAACAGCATCGTTTGAATTATAAATCCTTGTGACAACTTAACGACATCAAAGTTTCATTGTTCCTGCTTCTATATATTCCTCGATTTTGATGTGGTTGACCCCACGAAGAATACGGAAAAAGCCTGAAGGTGGAACTTAACAAGCTTATATAGTATTCAACACCCAACCTTTTTCTCCCCAATAGGTGTTGTAACTATTGGCAGCCAACCAGTAGGCTACGCCGTTCTCTTCTCCCCAGCCGATGAGCTTTACTGCATGCCCCATCTCAGACACATCGGCACTCTTATGCTAGAATCTTTGATGATTATGGTCTATAAATGCTATAACTGCATTGTTTGTTCTTGAGTTTACGCAAATTATTAACAGAAGTGAGGGTGCTTACGACGTAAACGCCATCGGTGTACCATGAGAAGTCTTTGTACAGCTCGAATGCGGCCACTACAGGTCCGTTGGTCATTATTTCCTTCATGATGAGCGTCTCGTTATTTGGAACGGTATAATGCGTTTGTGCTAAATATCAAACTCTCATACTCTTCCAGGCGACAGCAATCGTGCACGAGTTGTAAATGATTCCATCTTTGTACCACCAGTAATTAGAGTCATGCAAAGACCACATTGAACGTTTTTACCTAGCATTGCCTGAATGATGCAAGCCAGCGAACAGTGATAATTTCTTTCTGGATGAATTTTGAACGCGCTCAACTCCTCTAAAGGCGCCATTAATCGCCATTTATTTTTCTCACAAGTAACATCATTGCTGTTCTCTATAACTGGGGATAAGCTTTGCCTTGACATTTACACATGATCGTTCGTATTTTCTCCAAGTCGGAGACTGTACAGGTTAGTTATTTTCTGAAAACACATGTACGAGCTTCTACAATAGCTAATAATGTGTATCGAAGTGCAAGGTTGGTTAGTGGAAGATTCGGCAACAATAACAGTGCACATGCACAGACTCTAGGTAGGAGAAAAAATTCAAGCAAAATTCATCGCTTAGAGATTGTTTATTTGTTTTCTGCAGTACATTAGTTGGAACTATGGTTTTCCAAATTGCCATTGTTTATTGCTTGTTCAATCACAATGTGCTAAACAGGTTCTGCTAAATCATTGACCGCATTATCACTAAACAGCAGGTATCGCGGATGTCACGAAAGCATTGTTCAGGCAAAACCTCGTTTTCGGATCTTCCCGCTTATATGAATTCATCCGTCACTTTTTAGAGAGCTCGAAAGCGCCAACAGGCTTTTATCAAGTCTTCTATCTAATAATTAGACAAGTAGCAGTGTTTCCGCCAAGGTGAGATACAGAGATGCTGTAAGACCATGGCCCGTAGTAAACCCCCTCTCAGCCCAACTCGGCTGGGGACGGGTCTACGTTGAACGTAGAGCGCCTCAGTCCGGCATCCACTGAGTCATCGATCCGGATTCGGATCGCTTTTCAGACCCAAAGATCTTGTGCGTTCTCAAAAACTAAACTTCTTGAGTGGTCTGGTCGAGAGGCTAAGTCAATAGGTTTCAACGCGCAAGACCGTGGTTCAAGGCTGGACAGTGCCAAACTTTTGCGCCACCACAGACAATCTTTAAAGGCGGCCGCTATCGAGAAAAATCGATGGCAACCGCTATCAAAGATATCGCCAAGCAAATGATGGGTAAAACAGAACTACTACATTTTGACGAGGAATTCATTGAAAAGAAAATTTTTGAAAATAGAGCAAATGAAAAAAATCAAAAAATCCTTGTTTCAAGCAGTTTTTGAAGGAAAAACGTAATCAAGCTCTGAAAAAAGGAGAAATCCAAGAAATCCTGTTTTCTCGTTCTTTCGCCGCAATCAGCTGTTCATCGATCCTCTACCATTTAGGCCGCCGAAAACGTGCAATTTTAGGAGTTTTGCACCGCAAGAATACGTCCACTGAATTTTCCCATAAGTTACTCAAGAGCAACTTACGGGAAATTTGTCTGATTCTCCTCTTACGCACACTATCTCTCTCGGGTCACCCCTAAATTCAACCTCGGATAAGTGGCATTCTGGTTAACTGACTGTGACACTTGACCAGACAGGGGTGTATGCCCTTCTGAACCGCTTCTTCCTAGCGCTAATTGCTCTGCTCGGGAGGCGCTAATTACTCCGCCTTTCTTATAATATATCCTAGTTTTCAAATATTTCTGAGCATTCCAAAGCAAGCGAAGCACACGAATAATGATGGTAACGATGTTTGAATTATGAAGACAAAAAGCTGGAAAAGTTGCATGTTTTTTTACTGGTTTTTCGTGATTTCTTCGCCCTTCCCAATTTTCAAAAACACCATGAAGTCTGCACGTGTAAGCTGAAGCATTTACCTAAGCCGCCCACGTATAACACTTCTGAGTTTCATGGGAAACTCGAAATCTTGTTTAATTCCTTTTATCATGAGAATGCCTTTGCAGTCCAATTCAGACGTTTCTAGCGACAACATAGCTCTCGCCTACCCAAGCGCCGCGGCAGCGCCGACCAATCAGAGGCGCGCAGTAATTAGGCTGCTAATGCTAGCGGTTCAGAAGGGCCGTCTCCCACCAGACAGTCTTCTGACTGTTGAACTGACTATCCTAAAGCACGGGAAGGTGGGCGGGATTAGGTTCACCCGAGAAACTTCTTCTGAATGACTAACCTCAAGTCACCTGAGATGAATGGGGGTTTACTACGGGCCCATATGATCTGCGGCGGGATGCGCACTTCGTTGCTTAACTCGTGAGCGAGAGTATCTCGCCGAATTGTTGAGAAACTCGGTATTCAATATGTTTTTATATGAATTCTTCCCTTGTTGTAATTATGTTTTTTTTTGTTGTTGAAGAGAAATGAATATGTTCAGTTTTCTTCCTTACTGAATTTTTTCAGGGTTTTGTGTCATTATTAGACTCTTGATCCAATCTTTTAATTAAACAATAATTTTATTTCCTACTTTTGTTTTTGCACATCTTTATAGTGCAAATTATTAATAAACTGCAAATTTTCTGCAGTCTTGATCGATAAACTATGAGGCAGTCGCGCGACCTCTGAGGGAATTCTCGCACCTCAGCGCGATGAGGTGCGAGGCTGCTGCGAATATCTCTCATCGAGAGGTTGTGGACAACGATAGCGCGCTTACGGTAGCTCAGCCGCGGCGGTGTTGCCAGCTCTGGCGGCTGGCTGCGGCACCAGGCGGCTGCCTGGGTAACACTTGCACGCCTCCCAAGTCGAAGGCACCACCCATTCTAGGTTAGGGGTCTTGAACTTCTGGCAGCATACGATATTAGTACACACTATCAAGCCGATGCAAGGTCGCAACGCATAATGTCGCTTTGGAAGCGAGAAAATCGCTCTAAAATAATAAAGGGGCTCTTGGGCGGCACCGCCCTCCTTTAGTGAAAGCCGCCCTTGCCTGTTGGCTCATTTAATCAAATTCAAAGAGCCCGTCGCGCGGGTTTTCCAGAACGGGGTTCTTGGGGTTTTCGCGGACTTCCGACCATAATCGGAAACAGAGACTTGAGAAGGTCCCGGAACGGCAAAAACATGGAAGTGTATTTGGGTAGTAAACGGTGCCTTTAAGGATGCCAATTTCTTAAGCGATTTTCTTGCATTCATAGAGTCACGGTTTCGCAAGTGCACGATGACGTGGCCAAGGATTTCCACTTACGCATAGCACCGACATCCAATACGGACTATAAGTTTGCCTAACACTACCTTTGAACATCTCTTGATTTGAGAAGCGCTTTTTCTCTAAGTGCTATCTTCCTTTTGTTCATATTCCTCGTTATGACTGTTAAGTCTGAACGACAGAATTGAGTGCCAGCGCAAAAAGCCAATGATTACTTCGTTCTCTGGCACATCATGTAATAATATGTTCTGTGCTCGTGAAGCCTGAACATGTTGGTATATTCTGTAATTTGCTCAAGCCAATCAGATTTGTGGTAAGTTTTCATCTAGCCTGACGTTTCGGAAATAATTCCTTACTCAGATACCTAAGGAAGTCTAGCTTATATTTTGAATCGCACTGCAAAACTTCTCCACCACGCTTGCTTTGTTTGCTTCAAAGTGAATGAGAGAGCGTTTCTGGAGTAAGTCACCAACTTCACCGAGATCGCACAGCAGCAGTATAAGAATACCCAGTAGAGGTAGATGACTGATGACTGAGCTGTCCCAATGGGAAGCAGCTTAAAGGCAGTGTAGGGGCAAAATTTCAAACGAAATTTTCCTCGCTTACCTGAGCTTACCCTTCCCGCTGATTCCAAAAATACAGGTTGCAGAGCACGAAAACGTCGAAGACGAGCTGTCTCATAAACCTATGATTCTCAATTCGGACGCCTGTTGCCGAGCGCACTCTAGCTCATCGATTTATCCCTTGGTGGGCGGAGTTCTCCAATCGTGGCGTAACCCTCTCAGCCTCCGGAGCATTTCTCTCGCTTCCGATTCCACGAAATGCTGGGCTGGCGTTCATTTTAGGGCGGATACTTTTGCGCGACAGAGAAATCCCAAGACCCTCAACCTAGTTCGTGCACTGCCTTCAAATACCGCAGAACACAAGATCGCTTGTGTTTGAGAGTTGTTCATTCTTGGCATTTATCTTAGGCTCCTTTAACAGAATGAATGATGCTTTAACGCTTTGCGAGCGGCTAAACTTTCACGAGCTAAGATTGTGCTTCTAATAGTGAAATTCGCTTCATCGTGGTCAACTGCTCTATGATTTCCAGGCGGACTCGTTATGCTTCCTGTTTTTTGCCAAAGAACGCCCAACTATTGAGAAACAAGAAGCATAATGAGCCCATTTGGGAAACATAAAGCAGTTTAACCACGATGGTGCGGATTTCACTACTAGGTGCACAATATTAGTTTGTGAAAGCTCGTAAAACATTAAAGCGTCATTCATCCTGTCAAGGGAGCTTAAGATGAATGCTAAAAATGAACAGCACCACAAGCGATTTCCTGCCGTTTATAACATATTGTCAGTACAAGGTACCTCACGCTACTTAAGCTGTTTTCCATTGGGCAGCCTAGTCATCAGTCATCTACCACGAGGGGTACCTCTAGGTCGCTGCTGTAAAAGTTACTCCAAAAACGTTCAATCGTTCGCTTGGAAAAAATCAAACAAAGCAGGCGTGGTGGAGAAGTTTGGGCAGTGCGAAATTCAAAATAAGCGAGACTCATGGCTCTAGATATATAAGATCATCATGGTTCATGACATTAGTTAGTTGAAGTCCCACTTGCCCACCAAACATGGCTATTTATATATTTGCTAGCCTACTCCATCATTTACATTATTGCAGAGTAGGTGATAATTGGAATTGGCACATCGTTGCAGAAACACCAGTGCACGAGCATTCTTCTTAGAAAACAGGAGGAAACTCAAACACACCGTAAAGCTTATCCTTTTCGTATTCGACGCCGTATTTGAACTGGCATCTGCTTCTGCATTTGGGCGTTAGAAATTTATCTGGACATGGTTCGAAGAAAAACTTTTCAGAACCACAAGGATAGAGCGGATACGGCTTGCAGCAAGACTAGAAATTGTATAAGTGAAACTAGCATTCTCCCTGCGGGTCATAGAATATTTGAGCGAAAAGTTGAAGCACTACCCTGTCGTGATAGAGCCCTCCACTTGGCACACCCGACTCTTTCAAATAGTTGAAACCTTTTGCTATGTATCCCCCGTAACATCTGCAATCAAACGTTTCTGCAGTGTAGATGTAGAATAGCTTATACTCACCCTCCTCCAGTGCCATCTGGATTGCCACATGTAGTACAACATGCCATTAAGTCCGCATCGGAGAGGAACACCTATATTTTCTTTATATAAGGTCATTTTGGCTTTATTGATTAAACTACAACAAGATCAATGGAAAAATCAGGAATATCATTAACGAACACTTTAAGCACTCTGGCGACTTATACAGCTACAAATACTAGCCGGTCAAAGTACGCAAATCGTTGATCATCAGCGGTCATCTTATATATAAAGCTGAATGTCTGTTTGTCTGTCTGTCTGTATGTATGTATGTATGTATGTATGTATGTCTGTGTGTACGTATGATCCGAATAGAAAATTCCATTTCTGAACCGATCGGGACCAAACTTAGCACACATACACTTCGGGCCCCTGCGGGTGTCATAGGCTACTTTTCGTCATCGATCGATATCGATTTTATCGATTTTTTGCAAAATTTGAGCTACGGGGCTGGGAGTTGGCACAGGGGGGTAATCGAGCATGCTGATCACCCCCGTGGGGGTGATCAGCATGCTCGATTACACCCCTCTGTCAGATTCCAGCCCTCTAGCTCAAATTTCGCAAAAAATCGATAAAATCGACATCGATCGATAACGAAAAGTGGACTGTGACACCCGCCGGGGCCCGAAGTGTATGTGTGCCAAGTTTGGTCCGGATCGGTTAAGAAATGGAATTTTCTATTCGGAACATACGGCGGAGCCTGGTAAGCCAGCTAGTCTTATATATAATTCCAAAAGTAGTTCCCCTTTTGGAACAAAGATTTTTAGTAGGTATTGGAAGCATTGACTCTTTTCATGGTCTTACAAATAATTGCAATTTTGGGTTTAGCCAACACACTCTCAGAAAATTGGCGAAAGTTGTCAAATGCTTTTACCATGTGTCAAGTTTCTCTATTTTTCTTTAGTCATACTTTCTCGAATAATTCCGAGTAACGCAGGCTGTCCCAAAATAACGCTACACCTTTTTGTCATTAATAACTCTCCTGCTTCGTTGTCCTGTCGATCTTTAACACGTTTCGGACCGGTGCTGCACATGGTGCAGCACGTTGTTTTGAAGGATCATTTTGACGTTCACATGAAGTTTTCTTTTAGTCCAAAGTTATCAGGTCAAAGCCCTAAGCTCCTACTTTTCAAATAATTCTGTAGAGCTGTACCGCCAATGTTTGTTCAAGAGATATAAGGAGAAATCGAACAACAGTTGCAACAAAGTGCGGCAACGCGAACGACGCGTGCGACGTCGCAACTTCTTCTTGCATCAATTTCGAGGAGGAAAACCCTAGTCTAGATATTGGTGTGTACCGTTTGCAACATAGGTACTTTTGGGTACTATTAGGAATTGAGATCTTGTCCCTGTTCTTCAGGAAAACACGAAAGTTCTTCTCAAGCGACAAAATTCAAACACTTCGAATTCACTTAAAACATCGGGTATGGAGCTTATCTGACATGCTGATTACAGATGTAGCACACAGTCCACAAAATAAGGTTCATTTGTTGGCTAACGGCTGAAAGTACAATCTTTTTCGCCGCGCGCGATTTCGCGGTCCGAAACGTGTTAAGTACCCCTCTGTAGAGCTGACTACTTACAATTTAGGTTTACAGCATAAAGCGATTCGTATCTGTTCGCTACTGTAGGATCATGGTACAAACTTTTAGCATAGCACCATTCTGAATTGGACGTTTGTAAAGTGCAGGATCTGTAAAATTGTGTGGCAGGCTATAAGCAGCAGGTTTCATTACGCCACTTTTCAAAAAATTTTGAGTCTTTTTAGAAGTTTATCACAATCTCGAAAAGCATTGGAAGAGCAACTGTTGTGGTTTTTCGTAAACAATTTTTGTGGGGGAAGCATGGCAATGGTGTACAAATTTTATGTCCAAAATCACCATGTCTAATTAGCCGAGTGCGAGAGTTTCTGGCTTGTTTGCCTGTTAAGGCAAACAAGCCAGAAACTGTTAAGGCTTAAAACCTTCTTTAAATGCTACCGTAATCCTACAATAACGAAGACAAATGGGAGATTCGATCCCTACTGCAAATCTAAGTTGAAGCCAACTCTACAGAATGTTACTTGAAGTTCGACAACAGATATCGAAGCGGGAGATTTATAGAGGTACAAACAATGCGCACATTATTTTGGGACAGCCTGTATAGAAACCTTACAAGAAAACCAATCTTTTGCTTCTATACATAAGTCGCCATTACTTTAAGACCACCGTATTTTAGCAGGCCTACCGCACCAACCACCAATAAACCCTTCGAAACTCGTGCGTGTTCAAGACAAAAGTTAAATTGGTTTGATTTCCGAAGGCTTTATAATCAAGAACATGAAACATCTGTTACTTGAATCAATCCAAAGTTTTCGGTTATTCTTTTGAGTTTTCATATTCGAACCTTCAGATTGATATTTCTTAAGAGATATGATACCTACATGGGTGCAAATTTTTGGCAGTATTCAGGGGGGAATGGTAACCCAAATGCTCTATAGGCAAAGATTGCTAATTCCATATCCTTATGTAGCAAGAGTACCCATGAATATTTGAAGAGTGTATACGTGGGCGAGTAGAAAGGAACGAACGAACGTGGTCTTGTAGTTCTTGCTTCAAGCTATCGAATGGTACCCCAAGTCCTGTTAATCCTTCACATATCTGTATAAATAAAGCTGGATATCTGTTTGTCTGTCTGCATGTCTGTACATAATTTCAAATAGAAATTTTATCTTTGAACCGATCCGACCCAAGCTGGCACGCCTACACAGGGCGGGGCAAGTATTGCAGGTCTTTTTCGTTATCGATCGATAATCATTTTTGCAAACTTTGGCCTGCGGTCTTTGGTCTGAAGTTGGTACAGGTTGGTAAGTGAGCATGTTGCTTACGAATAAGATATCAATTTCAGAATTGCCAATAATTTCTCTCGATTTTATTGGTTTTCTGCAGATTATGAGCTTAAGGACTGGGAGTTGACACATAAGGGGGAGGGGGATAAATTGCTGATTACGGCATGTACCTTTCGTAAAAATTCTTTTTGCTTTTGTCGATTTCATCAATCTTGTCAAATTTTAAGAATCGAGTCTGGGAGTTGGCACAGAACTTGAATGAATATGCTAATCACTATAACAGGCGTTTGTGAATACCCCTATTAGTTTTATCGGTTTCAGCAATTTTTTGCCTACATTGGTCCACCGGGCTGCGAGTGAGTTGGTGCAAGGGAGTACGTGAGTATGTGTTTACGAAAACACGGGGCAGAGTACTGGGGTATAGAAGCGGGGCAAAAAAAAAGAAGTTTGTTTAGAAGTGAGACTTATTAGTGACAATCATGTTAGGTTGGCGGAGACCGCGCGAAGCATACCCTAGGTAGTGACAAATAAAGTTGAGCTAAGAATGGTTTCCAGATGTCCAAAACAACAATGAACAAACAAGTGATGTTTCATGAATGAAGATATTTTCTATCATCTAGACGACGAGCGAATAATCCTGTTTTATGCAGCTAGGTTTGAATCTCATGACGTTCTAGTCACACCGCTAGGGGTTCCTTACGGGAGACGGTCGAATGGCGCGTATTGATCGATTGTCATTAACTGGGAGAAGCAAGAAATAAATTCAAACTTATTTCAATACTTGATTTCAACTGGTTATCCGCCTTTCGACATACACCCCCTTCATACTACGCCGCAGGACGCGGCAGCCTGCGGCGTCCTGCGTCGTGGGCCGCGGCACGCAGCGTACGCTGCTCGCAGTGAAAATACGCCCATGGCGGCACAGCTTCGCTGTGAGCACTCGGAGAATACGAGGAGTGGCGGACATAGAAATACATTGGTAGGCAGCGTGTGCTGCCATGAGGGTATTCTCGCTGCGACTGCAGCAGCGTACGCTGCATGCTGGCCGCCGCGTCCTGCGGCGTAGTATGAAGGAACCCTGATGAATGCCATATCGCATAGTAACACATCGGGTTACAGAACATCCTTGTTGGAGTCTGTACGCCTGGGCTCCGTGCCCTGACGCGCTAGCGCTCATGTGGTGCGGAAATCGACAATTTCATATTCATGGGCCCCACGAAAACTTTCTGCTTTTGCCGTTTAAGACAGAAACGGGAAGGGAGAGGGTGAGTGGGATGAGGGGGGAGGGCTACTATACGGCATTAGTGGCAATGTCCATGACTGAGATAGAGGGATTTTACACACTTTTTGCACCTGTGTCAAAACGTCATCAATGCTTAATGAAGGACTGGCAGCCTTTTTATCAAGTCAACTTTGCGGCGCGCTTTGCGTTCGCCTACATCGCCCTGTACGGAGTCAAGGCATTCGAGCTTGCCGACATTAATGACTAGCCCATAATACTGCAACGTTTTCTTCATGCAAGAGAATAGTGAGCACATTCACGTGAGCTGCGCTGAAGAAATGTGGTAGCCAGTATGGTGAACCAAGAGTGTCCGGGCAGGGACTCGATTTCTGAAGAATTCATTTACGTGGGGTTGTATGCAACGCTGAATTCGAAAATCCACTTAAGAAAGAGTGAAAACGGAGAGAACATGCGCTTTTCAAAGCCTTATAATTTGAAATAGAACAGTTCCCGCCAAGACTGAGTCGCAGAGTCTCTGCGGGACCCTACAAGAAAGGGTGGAGGGCATTAGGTCGCCGAATTTGGAAGAGTCCCGCGCGGATTCCCTGCAGGAACGCATGTCCGCGTATGTACAAGGGTGTGTATTTGTCGCAAATGACCGCGGGGACCGCCCTCTTTCGGCGACCTAATGTCCTCCACCCCAAGTTGAACTGCGGCGGCATGAGCACCGCAGAGCAGGAATTCAAACAGGTGGGAGAGTCCCGCCCCAAGGCGTTGATTTTCCAGCTTTCCGACCATATTTCTTGGTTACGGTCAAACGTTATGGCCTCGCACTTGCGTGTTGGCTGCCCACTTTCGGATGGCACTGAAATCCCAAAACCCGCGCCTTGTCGGAAGTTGCCTTCGAAAGGAAAACGCTGCTAACTAGATGACACGTATTCTCCTTCCATTTGTGTCGGGCTTGACTGCATGGTGTCTTCGATATTAGCTGGGCGCTTCTGAACCTCGTCTTATATCCGCTTTTTGGATTGAGAAGTGAACGTTTCACTGGAACAACATAACGCAGAACCGCAGTGTTAGATATCGAAGACTTTATGCAGTTGATATGCAGTTAATACTTTTTGTCTAACAAAGTCATGTCAATCAATGTTCTAGTTGAGTACTTTAGAATATCTTAACTAATCTATCTAAATCCTCGCTCATTTTTAGCTCCAAATGCATAATCATTACTCGGCAGGTGGACATCGTCGGATTCATACAAGAAGCGGCTTACACGGCGACACTTTCACGATACGCGTATATTAGGATAGCAAGAACACTTGACTATTTATACTGCGTAAAATCAGACCTTTGAGGGTTTAGGATAAATGGCTTTCCTCTAAAGTGTGCTATCATTTCTGAAGGAGAATTTCATGTATGCGGGCCTAATTCCTACTTTTGCACCACGAATCGGTTGCAGACTATGCTTACCTGCTTGGTGCCGTTTGATTGAATGCAGAGACGATCTGTCATTACTGACGTTATTGCTACAGCCCAGCAAGAAGCTGAAGAGAAATGTCTTTGGAAAGTTTTTGTTTGAGGTTGAAGTCAAAGCCTCTGAACTACGGCATACCACATCGACTCTGATCGCGAATTGTCCCAATAGATGGACACTGTGGCCAATGTTTCCGGGCATCAAATCTGGTAATATCAATTGGAGGTTATTTCAATAACTTTTTCGAAATCAATTGTTAGGAGATTTACTCTTTGGGGAGCTCAGCATCGGATAGCACGCTGTTCAATATATTATCTTCATTGGCCCTGACCAAATATTTTACATCCATAGCACGAGACCTGGTGTTCTTTTCAGCATCTGGCGAATACTTGGCCTGAGAGAATCGTTTTGCCTATACTATTCAACAAACAAGAATGATGTGGCAAACTCGGAAAAAACTCTGGTGAGCATTGATGTGATCTACAAGGGCTTGCCCTTCCAGCTCCACTTCCTCTGTCGATATCGGTGCGGCGAGGTACTCATCTTAATGCCGTTTAGTAGGAACGGTCCAACTTACCAAGCCTTGAATTTTGGACAATGTGAACTTACCTACTGTGAGCGCTTCGATGGGCGAAGTTATAGCTAACATTGCGAGAACAATCGACGTTACAAGTAACGAGCATTTTTTCCATTTTACAAATACGGGATTGGACATGTTCGCAAATCAGGGCTCACAGGGTCTGGAATCAATGTTGCTTGTATTTTACTTTTCTTTCGTAGTCTCTGCTTGCTTCAAGCATCGGTCACACCTCACCTCACACCATCGGTCACCTCCCTCGATTCCCGCTAAGCGATTTGGCACTTGCTAAATGTTTACAAATCCATCGAAGCGCATTCCAAATGCATAACAATAAAATAATAATTCGTCATAAAAGTGATTTGACTTTTCTAAACAAACTAGCATTCTGCAGAACAGAGTTCCCAAGAAGATTCTAGGCGCTTTCGCTGCAGATTTTCATCATCTTTCAAAGTGTGTGCGTAATTTAGTTCAAGCAACGAGCTCTCAAAAAATGAAGCCGAAAACTAACTATGGTTTTGCGATGGGTTCATAATTTTTATACTAATCTTTCAATGAAATTCAAGTAACGGATGGATAGGGCAAACTCTATAGGATACAATGTTTCGTTCTCCTTTAAATATATTTTCAGTGCCGCATAGGGCGCGTTTAAAAACGTGGATCATGGTGATTTTTTCCGCAAAGAATTTGCGAATTAAAAAAACAAAAAACATTCGTTAGAAAGAGGGAAAAGCTGCATGGGTTGACATCCGGGTTGCTCACAAGGTGATGTCCTTGAGGTTTGAGTTGATTAAATGTGGAATTTGATGGCATCAAAAAAAATTCTTTAGAAAAAAATAACAGGAATTATGGGAAGGGAAAAATTTTGTTGTATCCTGTAAGGCTTACTTCTATTCATCCATTGCTTGGACTTCTTCGAGAAGTTACTATGGAACTTTTAAAAAATGGCAAAGTTCGACCATGGAAAAACATGAGTCGCAGTTTATGGTGATTTTCTGGAAGTTTGTTCATCGAACTGCGATGCTATCGTAGCATTTGAAAGAAGTTAAAAAGTTGTATCGAATGCAACCAAGACTTTCCGAGAGTCTTTGATTTGCTGTACAATACCGCTCACAGAATGTGCAAAATTTCCGTGAATGTCGCACAATTCCGGAAATTCCGCGAAGGTTCGCGAAATTCCCGAAATTTCGCGAACCTTCGCGGAATTTCCGGAATTGTGCGACATTCACGGAAACTTTGCACATTCTGTGAGCGTATTGTATGTATGTGGCGCTCTTTTGGAGAAAGCTAGTTCACTTTCGAACCGGCCTTATAGTAATACATATACATAGTAAATTGATGCAACTCCAAGTCTTGCTCAATAAAATGCGATCACAAAGAAATACAAACGATGTAGCAGTGCCAAATCGCGCAGCGGCCGAGCTTGCATGGGATATGGCCGAAGTTTCATACAAAAGCGATAAGCACAAAGTTCATCCTTAGTTCAATTGAGGCTCTTCTTCTCTTAAATTCAAAATATATTTGTTGGAAATACCCTAATCGAGATACACGATTTTGAAGGCACCGTCCACCCAGATTTTCGACTTCCGCGTTTTTGTCGTTTCAGGGACTTCTCATGTCCCTGATTCCGAATATGAAGTCGAGAATGCGCGAAAACTTCGATAATCCCCGTTCCGGAGAACACACAGGCCGACTTTCCGCAACGGTGATTGGATGGGTGCGCACAAATAAGCGGGAATGGATGGGGGTCCTCGTGCATTTTTGCTATTCCGAAGTGATTTTCTCGCTTCCGAAGCGACATTTTGCTTGGGACTTGGGCATTGGATTGATGAGGGACCCTACTATTATATGCTGCCAAAAGCTCAACACCCTCAATTTAGGGTGGACGGTGCCTTTAATGCTGCTAAATTTATGTAATGCAGGAGGAGTTTTGAATTTTGGCTTGAAGAAGCTTCTAATTCAAGAGTGAATGACACTCGCTTTCGGTCTATTTCGAAATGCCAACGCGCGCCTCACGTCCAATGTCGTAAGGCAATGCTTTTTAGCGTTGAATATTTTGTAGGATCGAGCGTTAAAAAACGACTTTGCGTGCCATATTGTTGAAATCGTTCAAGTACGGAATGGTTCACATGTGAGCGACTGATGGCGGCAAGGAGTGTACATCCGGATGTTGCCAGTACTGTACAATTCCGTCATGCTTTCGTTAAGCTTTGTTTATAAGCCACACAGAATCCAAATAGATATGGTGGAACAACAAACAAAATTCCAAAGCAGCCGAAGTTACAAGAGTAGAATAACAACACCAAACATACGCACTTATTATTTATCACCACGTCCTTATATCTAAATTCGGCTTAATTCTCAAAAGGCATTTTAATACTCTGAGAGACAGTGGCCGCATGATAACAAACGTCGACGCGCTAAGCCTCCCCCCCCCCCCCTCTCCGCCAGAAATGAGGCACGCATTCATTTGTCGCAGCACTTGTGCTTTGAGATGCTCAAGCCAGTGACGCTGGACTCACGACAGTAACGGCATACTGTTAACAAAATAGGTAAAAGGATAGCCACTAACAGCATGCAAATAGTTTTTGCAAGTTTGTTAATCAGCGGTCCCGGAGGCACAACTTTGTACTCTACATTGACCTTGCTCGGAAAACAGTTTTCATCGGCTAACTTCCTTTAGCTTTGTTCTTGCACTAAAGTGCGGTTCATAATTATACGAACACCCTAAATTTTGAAAGTTTTTGGACTTTCTGGCAGAAACTTAAAAAGCCGTTGGTACCACGCGATAGAGCACAGCCGAAAACGGTATGCGGTCCACAAGAATGAAAATCGATGTCAATTTCAGAAGTGTTTTTGCGCCTAATGCGAATTTTTAGCGGTTCATAATTATACGAACACCTCAAACAAAGGTCCATTTTTCGTTCAAGATTGCAATCTTTTGAGTCCAAATTTTTTGTAGAGGTACAGTAACAAAGTTTGACATATCTGCTACACACTGAACCCAGTGCAGCTTAAAAAGAGGATCGTTACTTTTTTTAGATGGCTCTAAATGCTTTTGGAGTGAATGCGCTCCAAAAGCATACGCTCTTCTGTGGTTTACGCACTCTAATTAGCTTGTACCAAAACTATGATATAAAATAAGCTCTTTCGATAGATATCTTGTTTGATGCTTGGAAAATCTATGCGTTTTCGTGCCCTTTTTCAACCAAGTTCCAACTCTACCCTAGAGTTAGCACGATTTCGAGCCTCAAAACTCAGCTTCTCTCTCGCGCAAACATTTGATATGAAGCAGCTGCATTCCTTGCATGATGATGTATCCGTGCCAACGTTTTTGCGTTTTTGTAGAACTGATCTTGAAGCTATGGAGCAAAAAACCAAATAAAGTTGTGATTGCAATAGTAAAAACAGTGGTTTTGGTGAAATGACGTCTGCGTGGCCAAAACAAGCGCTCAACGCTGCTGATTTTTTTCTAGCCAAATACATAGTCTTGTGAACTTCTACACACCATCTGCTTGCTTCATTGCAAGGCTTGCTAAGCTGAGTTTTGAGGCTCGTAATCGTGCTGACTCTAGGGTAAGGTTGGAACTTGGTTGAAAAACGGCACGAAAACGCATAGATTTCCTAAGCGTCAGACAAAATATCTATCGAAAGAGCTTATTTTATCTCATAGCCTTGGTACAAGCTAATTAGAGTGCGTAAACCACAGAAAAACGTATGTTTTTTGAGCGCAATCACTCCAAAAGCATTTAGAGCCATCTAAAAAAATAACGATCCTCTTTTTGAGCTGCACTGGGTTCGGTGTGTAGCAGATATGTCAGACTTTATTACTGTAACTCTACAAAAAATTTGGACCCGAAAGATTGCAATCTTGAATGAAAAATGGACTTTTGTTTGAGGTGTTCGTATAATTATGAACCGCTAAAAATTCGCATTAGGCGCAAAAACACTCCTCAGATTGACATCGATTTCCATTCTTGTAAGTCGTATACCGTTTCCGGCTGTGCTCTATCGCGTGGTACCAACGGCTTTTTGAGTTTCTGCCAGAAAGTCCAAAAACTTTCAAAATTTGGGGTGTTCGTATAATTATGAACCGCACTTTAGAAAATGTCAATGACAGATATTTTTAAAAAACTCTGTCAGTTCGTGAATTCCTCCACTATATTCTTCTTGAGCAATCTGCATAAAAATTTAACTCTACTTTTAACATACTTCAGTGTTTTATATATGGCAAAAGGTATTCGCTTGTGCTAGTGCATACAGTCTGTGTTTCAATATCATTCCATAAGCAGTGCAGGTTTGGCAACGTTGACAGACTTGCTAAACCTCCACCTTGGAGCGTTGTTCTCTGAACTCTCTCGCTATCAAAAACCGCCGCATATAACCTTTGATTCAACTGGCTTGGCACCATTAGGGCGGGGTTTTGTGATCTAATTGAGGCCGCTCGCGCCCGCGACGCACCTGCGTCTCTCTCGCGCGAGTGCTCTCTGATCATTATCTGGCCTCAATAGGTCACGAAGCTCCGCCTTTGGCGATGCCAAGCCAGTTGAATCAAATGGTAGCTGCCACGTATTGTAAAGTTAAGAAAGCATGAAAGCGAGAATCGGTGAATTTGAGGAAATTGACAGTGGGACACTGACAAGTGCAGTGTCTAACATTCTGACTTGAATGTTGGAGCTCTTGGATCTTTGACACTATGACGGTCTTTGATTCAAAAATTTTTGAGGCGAAGGATAGAGTCCTGAATAGTTAGGCAACACAAAACACAAATGAGCAATAGTAGCTTGCCTCTACTGCTTACTCTGCCTTCTCCCTCCTAACGGCTATGTAATAACAACTTTCAAGTTGCTGCAGAGGGGGAGGTGTGTGGACGGGGACAGTCTCAAATGTAGTGCTTCTTGACTAATATCTGCTGCATGACGAAGGCGGTCGCCCAAATAGGTTGAAGGCTGTCGCGCACGCGGCGCGGGGGCAGTTGTCAACCACCGGGCGCGCGCAAACTCGGTCAGCGGTCATCCGATGGAGCGCGCGCGCTCCGTAGCTGACAATTGCCCGCGGGCCGCGTGCGCGACAGCCTTCAACCTATTTGGGCGGCCGCCTTCGTCATGCAGCAGATATTACACTTCGGTGCTGAAGTGCCACGGCGAAACGTTAGGGGAGTGGGTAGGGATAGATACATGACTCGATGCCACGAGAAAAGCGTGAAAGTCAGCGAAAAGAATTTTACTCTGCATTCTTGACTTCACTGCCGACTTCCGCTTCCCCCCCCCCCTCCAGCAGAGGCT